ACCTTTTGCTAGTAAAACATTATGGGCAAGCTTGGATGTGCAAAGAGTGGTTATTCGATACCATTCTCTGATCCAATTAACAAATACTCATACAGAGTATTTTTTAGGTAATCAAAAAAAGGTTAGAAAAGAAGAAAGATTGTTCTGTATCCCAGGCATGGGCAGCTCTCCCTGCTATTCCCCACTGAAAGCCAAATACTCCTGTCTCACAAAATAATCAGCGGTTTCTTAGTGTTAGATTTTCCCAAATAACTTGAACACAACAGCATTCACTTGAGAGTGCCTAAAAAGAAAAGCTAAAAAATAACTCCAGCATCACCCATAACTTGTACTAAAATCCAGCTCTGGTTTGCAGCTCCCAGCACACAGAGTTAACATGACTGACCTTGTTGAAATCTCCCTGGGTAAGCAAGATAGCTCTAAAAAAAGAACACCAGGCCCTCACGATTAATTGCTAACTATTAATAAATTAGCATATTTCTCCCTCTTCTCCCAGACATACCTATAAATGTAGCTACCCAACAGCTTTACCAGGAATGGAAATCTGAGTATTTCATGACATATGCAGGAATAAGTAATGTCCATGAACTACTGAGAAAGGGAATAACTGAACCTGGAGTGCCATAATGAACCCAAAGCAGATGTGTGATCCCCAGCCAGCTGAGCCTACAGCTCCAGTGACTGAGGCCAGACTGTGATGGAGCCCCACAACAACAGAGGCTTCTAACCACAAGCACATTAAACTGTCTTTACTGTGTAAAATTTTGCTTGAAGTCACAACTCGCACAAGCATGTGAAGCCTGGGGAAAGGGGGAAGAGACAGATCAGGCTACAGCAAACAAGGAGGAGGCACAGCAACTCTCTAAGACAGCAGTGACATTTCTCACACAGGAGCTCTATGACAAACGCTGCTTTCCTCCTCCTCACATCTTTTGAGGAATGACCTTAGCTGAGGGGTTTCCAGTAGCCAGGGGCTTCTGAGACCACAAAAAGTTTCACCATACCATCAATTGTCATTATGCCAGTAAAATTAAGTCATTTTTATACAGTGTACTGCAAATGTGCTGCAACTTCTATGGCCACTCACCTGCACTGCAAGAAGCTGAATAACTCCAGGAATACCTCTTGAGGAACTCTCAAGAAATTCAGACACACGAGAGAGTGCTGTGATATACAGGTGAGGACTTTGAGCCCCCAAGCATCTTACACTGCACAAAAGCAAGATCACAGGTCAACTACAACACTATCCAGATGTTAGTCTGTACCACAACAAGGATCAACTCAAAACAACTCAGAGAAACAAACCCCAAACACATCTCCTCAGCAGAGTTAGGAAACAGTGCAGACAATATTGTTCAAAGAGCACAACTCCATGCCAGCCCAGGCACAAGTAAATCAACACAACATCCTAGGAAAGTATATACCTTTCCATGGCCAATTATGGCCCCTAAATACTATCTGAATTCATTGTGCTGTAAGAGAAACCTTTAACTACACCACCACTTCTTCCAGACAGAAATTGAGGTGGTGCTTATAGAAAAAAATCAGATTGTTTTCAAACATTGATGCTGTAGCTAAAAAGTTGTGCTTGAAAAATGCTTCACGTACACAGAAAATTGTTGGCAATAAAAGCACAAGTCTTCCTCTGCAGTTTCACCAGCTCTTATTAGTTGCATAGCCTGCTATTGCCAGTACAGCACCCTGCGCCAGAAAAAACACCCTTGTTCACAAAAAATAGCAGCATTCTAGTCTGAATTAGCAAGAGAAGACAAGCAACTGTGTTTTGTATCAGCTGTTGTTGGTAACAATGAACAGAGCCGTTTTTATTTAAAACCTGACTACAAATATGTAAAAATATTTATGTTTAGCTTACTACTTCTTGATAGGTTCCATTTTAAATACCAGATAAATGCTTCTTACAGTATTTTCCAAGGACTGAACATCTCAAAATCTCAGAGCAAAACTCTTCAGAACAAGAGTTACCTTGTTAAAAAAAGTTACTTGAAAGAAACTAAAAAAAAAAAAAAAAAAAAAAAAAAAAAAAAAAAAAAAAAAAAAGAGTAAATTGACCAAGAGCAAATAAGCTATCCAGCAGTGATCATACAGCCTACTTTGACATTTTGCTTTCAGGGGTTTGTTTCATGGAAAAGGGTAAGTTTTCATGATTCCTTTTGGTTTGGAAGAGTTATAAAAAAATATTTAATTTATCAAAGTTTGACCGGGGTGGTGGGGGCAGAAGGGGAAATGATCCTGGACAAATATTCTCAGTTTCACATTGAGCATTAATATGGACTGAGTCAGACGACTTATTTCCACCATTCTCTACACTTTGCCAACTTATTTATCATTGTATGATAAGTAAGAATCACTATCTGCAAAACCAATCTCCCCACTGAGAGCTGGCATCTCCCAGAGGTTTTTTACATCATGCTCCTAAAATACATCTCCACAGCACCACAGCACTAACTACTGGCAGCAGATATCACCAGCCAAATAATTTTCCCAGAGTTCAACCAGTTCAGTTAAGATCATGGCATCACTTCACAGAAGGCACGTGCAAGAATACAAAGAGCTTAATCTCCCCTCCAAACACTTGTTCAGAAAACTAACCTTGAGAATTAAATGTAATATTCATAAGGTAAAATTAAATTGGTCTTGGTCAAACATGAAACCCAGTGGCTGTGAACTACACAGTAAATAACTATTTCAGGTTGAAAATAAACTATGAGACATTGTGCTAACAAGGCTGTTAGCTAGCTATTAAAGCCTCTATTTTCATGTTCAGAGATGAAAGTATAACCATAAAGAAAAATTTTCCACATGTCATTTCTTTATTACAGTCTTGTCATGCAGGGAGTGACATAAAATGACTCTGTGTACTAAACAAGTCGAACGCTTACCTAGAAACTGAAAAACAACAGCACAAACAAAAGTCACCAGCAGTCTTTAATTTATTCCTTTACATTTCAAAGTACACGTGTTTGCATTAGTCAGAAGATCCACCTCCCAACTACAGCCAAATTATTCTGCATAACACTAATTGAGGGTCCAGCTGAAGAGTTACCTGTTCAAGGAACCTGCAAGTAAAATAAATTATGCAAGAAAGGAAGCGAAGCATGCTTAAGAATAATAAAGGCTTTTAAAATGATTAGCAGGTTTACTCTTTAATCTGGCAAGGTAACAAACTTTCAGCACCCAAGAGAAAAAACACAATGAGGGAAAAGCTTTATATAAATATCCCACATGCCAAAGCAAAAGGCTTATTTCATTGGAACAATGCACTCCTGTTTAAACCAATACCAAGGATAAAAAAGAGAGATCTTTCTGGGGAAGTTATTTATATGTTAACGCATAACTTCACAGCACGTTTGTGCGGAATCCTCTCCTCACAAAGGCTGCTTGGACAGTCCCTCACTGGCACCGGCCCCTTCAGGCACATGTTCACGCTCAGGAGGGCTGGGAGTATCCATCTCTGAAAACATGAGTCTGCTTTCCAAACCTGCCCGAGTCTGGAGCGCGGCGCTGCCAAGCGCTGACCGCAGGCACGGCGCTAATGGCTGCTGGGAGCGAGCGCCGCCGCCAGCGCGGGCAAACCCGCGCCCCTCCGAGCGCTCCGAACTCCTCAGCAAATTCAACTCCAGCTAAGCCTGCGAAAATACTTTATGTAACCAAAGAGGATCACGCTAAAACCTAATGTCGCAAGAAAAAAAAAAAAAAAAAAAAAAAAAAAAAAAAAAAAAAAAAAAAAAAAACCGGCCAAAAACAAAAAAAAAAAAAAAAAAAAAAAAAAAGGGNAGAGGAAACAAAAAAAACACAATTTCGCAAAAAAAAAAAAAAAAAAAAAAAAAAAAAAAAAAAAAAAAAAGAAAAAAAAAAACCGTACGCTCCAGAAGCCATAAATCCCTCACCTAACTCATAGCTCCACTTCCCTTTTGATTCATTCCCGGCAGAGCGGGAACTGCGACACCCCGGTCGGCATTCGGAAAGCAGTCGCAGAGTCCAAGCGGAGTACGACAACGGGAGGTTGAGGCTGCCCTCAGAGGAAGCCCCGGTAACACCCCGCGCTGCCGCAATGCCCGGGCAGGAGCGGGGCTCCCGCGGCCATCCCGCCCCCCGGAGCCCCCCGGGGCTGGGCGCAGGGGTAGGCGGGCTGCACACCGCCGCCCCGCCGAGGCTGCCGCTGCTATGCCAGCACGGCCAACAAACCTCGAAGCAGAGCAGGATGGTTTTGCTGGGGGAGAGGGAGAGACACAAGCACACATCCGAGAGATGAGGGGTGGGAGGGATGGAGGGACAGACTGGCGGACGAAGGGGCCGCTATTCACCTCTCCGGGCGGCAGCCCAGCGCTTCAGTCCCATCACCGCTGAACAGGATAAAGAGCTCCTGCTTAGTTGAGCTAGTTTAAAAAACTTCTTGCTCAACTTACAAACCTAAAGTTTTTTCGAACTGTCAACGGCTTTCGCTTGAGAAGGTGAAAGCTAACTTTCGCGGGACTTTTCCGACCTCAACTACTCTGATTCCACGATCCTACCTACCTGCCTGAAGGAGCACGGTAACCCCCCCTCTCCATGCAAGCAGGCTGGCCAGGACGAACATAGGGAGAAGGGGACAGAGTAGAGTATGGGTATAGACCCCACTCCAGATACATATACATATATAAATGGACCTGGAGTTAGCCAGTCTCTCTGCAAAACTTTCTAATTCCCAGTGCCAGAAAAAGAAAAAAACCAAAACAACACCGAAAATCCCGCAAGGCGAAGCAGGCGCCAGCAGGCGCGGACGAGCGCCGGCAGGAGGGCGCGGGAAGCCGCCAGCTCCCGAGCACCACGCCGGGGAGTCCCGGGGCTCGGCCGGGACCGGCGCTGGCAAAGGCCGCGCTCCCCCCGCCGCCCACGCAGCCGCCCCGCCGGGCAGAGGAGCCGCGGCGGCAGCGGAGCACCCCCAGCGCGCCGCCGAAAGTTCTCCCGGCGCCCGGACGGCAGGGCCGGCTCCCTCTTACCCTTAGTCCAGTCCACTACTTGCTTCGGGCTCCACTTGGTCACCGGCTCCATGGCGGGTCCGAGCCCGCCGGCACCAGCCCCCGCTCAGACCGCAGCTGCTCCGGCCGCGGACTCGCCCCTCTCACGCTCCCATCCCGGCAGCGCCGCTCCGGGCCGCCCCCTCCCCGGCCCGGCTCCTCCCGCCGGCCACGGCCGGGCCCGCCCCGCTGCCGCTCCGCCCCCAGGTGCCGTGTCCCGCCCGGGCCTCGTGCTTGGGAAAGCGCCGAGAAAAAACTTCCCGGGGTTCCCGCTCCGACAGGTCCGGAGAGACGGCGATTCGGGAGTCGCCCGGCATCCTTCCCCGGGAGCGGCGGGCGGGCCACGGGGTGGAGCGGCGGCCAGGCGCTGCGCCCTGCTTCGGTGGTGGCTCAGTGTGAGTCACAGCCTTGGGGCAATTTTAGCAGCAACTGCAGAGTGCCTTGAACCACGCTTGTCCCCGTATTGGCATTTAGGGTTTTTGTTTCTGAATCCCTCGCCTAAAAGAGTCCTTGGGTGTGGAGGCTGTTTCACCAGAAGAGTTTACTTTTATTTTGCTGACTTCTCTTGCGGGCTGCATTAAGCCATCAGCTACACCTCAGACATCATTCCTCGTGGGAAATGTGTCTCCTGGCCACCTCCTGAAGCCCATGGATGCCCTTACTGAATGTCAGTCTCTTCTCAGGGGTTCAAGGGCTGACCTCCAGAACTGGGTGCCCAGCATACCGGCTTTGTCCATTCCCCAGCACTGAGCACATAACTCGGCCTTGCAAACACCACAAGGAAACGTGAAGAAAACAGGAATTTTTTTATTTGTCACAATGCTATCTGGTTCAGCAGCAAATTGCAGCCTGAAGCCCTTTTGTGGCATGCACAAATGTCCCACTGCTCCTCTTCCTCAATGAGGAAGAAACAGTGTAAACTCTGCTGTGACAACAAGACTGTGAAATTTTAACTTGGCAATATTACAGAGTGGGCAAGCAGCTGGGATTTGAGACTGTCCAGTATCCCACTGTTTTCATCATCTCCCATGTCGACCCATCTGTTATCCCCAGTCATGCAGCTGAAATGTAAGCTCCTTGGGACAGGGGTTGTCAGTTCCATGCAGGGCTGTGCAGCACCCAGCTGCGCGGTGCCCAGCTTTCCCACCATGGCATAAACAGCTGCCTTCTGGCACACACTGCTGCAGACCCCTATTGGAATCAGGAGGAGCTTTAGTTCTAGTTCTAATTTGGGGAACCAGTAGTTAAAAAGAAAGGAGGTGTGCACGTACACCTAAAAATTCTAATTTGTTCAATTGTTTTTGTTACATGGTGATTGAAGGTATATTTTTAGTTATTTATTATAAGGTTAACTCATTCTAGCTGATTTCTCTATTTGCTTTCTAGTTTGTGAAATAGAACGGCTGTCAGTTAACCTCTCTGCCTATCTGAAAGATTAAAATGCAGTTCCTCACAGCTTTAATATTGGTGCAACAGCCAAAAGTTTCCTGATTCCCTATTGACTCATGTTGCCATTCATGCTTAAAAAAAGGTAAAACAACAGCTCTCCCCCCTGGCAGAGGCCTGAGTAAACAGATGGACCCTGCTAATGGTTTTACATGGGTTAATGTAACAGCACTTGTTTTAACTACACAGATGCTTCCCTAGGTTGCAGGCAGGATAGCAAATGTCTCTCACCCTTGGTGTTTGGAACACTCATCTGCTGTCATCCTTCTCTGTCACAGGTCTTGGGCCAGTCCCTCTGCCTGATTTGGGTCAGATGAGCACCATATTTTATGATGAAGGCATGCAGAGATGGTCGCTTGCTAGCAGATTGCCAATCCAACAAATCCATTATTAATACTTAGTATTTTTGGTCATTTTCAAAGTGACAAATTTTTTTTTTTTTTTTTTTTTTTTAATGCAGGACAACATTGCAGTGACTTTCTGTTCTTTTGCTACATGATGTCCCCCAACATCAACTGCTTTACAGCCTGCTCTGGACAAATGAAATGGGGCTGACAGGGGAAGGCAGCATGTCTCCTGTTTCTCAAAAGGATCCTAACCACCTTGCTTACCTGTGCTCTTTTCAAGCCCAGATTGCATCTGCCTTTGAGCTGATCTTTCTCGTGATTGCATCACCATAATCTGATCTTTATATGAGATGAGATTACCTGGTAGTCCACTGGCATGATGCAATTAGAAGTTCTGTCTATAGAATGAGGTGGTTTTTATAAAAAAAAAAAAAAAAAACTCATTGCCAAAAGAAATAATAATTTTTAAAAAACCAAGCAACTCTGTCCAATTTCTAGCAATGCCATATTAAAAAATGGCATTTCTCCTTTGAATAACTTCAGATGCTCTGTAGGTTAGTTTATGAGTTTTTAGCCAGTATCAACTATTAGGAAAGATCTCCATTCCTTTTCTCTGCTTGCAGCCTTGCATGGAATTCATTGCTCTGCCAGTTTGCCTGACAACACAGAGCTTAGTCTGGACCACACTCTTTAGTTTCACAGTCTTAGGCACAGCAATATGCACCCTTCCATCACCCCAGAGAAAAGACAAAAGAGTCTTTTGTCTAAACCCACAGCCACATCCTGTCAAAATGGCAGAAGGAGCTACACAGTGTTTGTCACCTTCAGCTTTCTCTCCTGGCAGCTGATCAGCAAGAGGAGGGCAGATGACTCTATAACAGAAAGTCTGTGGGAATAAGTTATTCTTTCAAGAAAAAAAAAGAGTGTTTGAACAATTGAAAAAGCTTAGCATCATTTCATTAGCTATATTGGCAGTACTCTAGCTTAACAGTGAATTTATCATTTTTTCTAAACACAGTCTGGTTGACTCTGCCCCTTAGGCCTTAGTTTTCCATACCAAATCTATGACCTGCCAGGTTACCTGCCTGGACCTGATATTTTTGACATATAGATGGTCACAAGCTTGACAAAGTAACCAAAGTGGAAAACGAGGATGACATTCAAGTTCTTAAACGAGGGTGAGAGGCAGTAGATGATCTAGCACAAATACCTGCTGACACAGACAGAACACACCAAAATTCCTTGAGCAGTTGAGAGTTAAGTGAGTTTGAACCAGGTTATCTCTTCACATCACATTGCTGCTTTTGTCCCCTGGCTGCTGCATCACAGTCTGTCTGTTGCCAGCCTTAGTATCACCCACCAGAGCTATGTGTAGGTTTGCAGGGACAGTAGCTCCTTTCTCTAAGAGAGGTAACTGCTGCTACTCATCTCTAAGGGGATGAATAAACAACTGCTTAGCCAAAAGTCACATATCAAGTTCAAAAAGTGTGGCTTTTGTTCACAGCCACAAAAAGTTGATTTTCTCACTGGATCAATTGTTTTAGGGGTGTCAGCATATTGCAGTTGGTATTTTTGAGTGGAAGGGATGTTTATGTTTCACAAAGCACTGTCCAAGCAAGTTTTACATTACATTACATTACCTTTAAATTACATTATTCATGAAAAGCTCAAGATTTATTTATTTCATATTCATAGCTGAAAGCTGTGAAAATTGACAAATTTAAAGTATGCAGAACAAAAGCCAGTATATGGGTAGAAAATCCACTGTTTGCCTCCATTGGCAATCCATAGGTGAGCAGTTAGGTGCTCACCCCTACCCTTTTGTTAATCATAACGCTTCACAGACCACCTCAAATACTGTCACAGGGAAAAAAATAAATAAATAAATAAAAAGGATTTTCCAACAAGAAAATTTTACCCTACATAACTGGAACTGAGAACTTCCCGGTAAGGTCAATGAGTATTAAAGTTTCTTTGGAAATTGCAACAGGTAACTTAACTCTGAGTCAGAGTGAGTCAAGTTCAGAACTGGGTTTGGTTCTATCAGCATGTAATTAAAAAAAGTCATACTAGTGGCAAACTGTTGTTGCACAAGAATCAACATCCTATTTCTCACTTTGATACCAGTACTGTGAATGATGTATCACTTCTATACATGAGAGTGTAGGAGATCTTGGTGTAGCCTGATGAGAGAAATAGGTCTGCCCAATGGTGTTTCAAATACAAGGTTATGCCTGCTTTATCAGTAACCAAAGTTAGGTGAGGAAAACCCATGTATATGGCTGTACTTATAATGGATCTATCCGATTTATTTTTTTTTCCCCCATAACAAAAGTTCCTGTGCTACTTATTTCCTAAGGATAGGAGTTCTGTATTTGGATTGTCCTTGTTATCTTCCATTCAGCTTTAAAACTACCTACGCAAAGTTCCTAGTTGGGTGAAAGTTGTCACTGCCTGCTGCTATAAGTGTATATATATATATATGTCTGCATATAAATATATGTGTGTGTATCTGTACACTGATGACTCTGCACAAAACCGACAGGCCATAAGGAGAAAGGTCTTCTCCTGAAGTTTTTCCTCAGAGCAAAATCCTATAAACTTTAACAAGTGTATTTTTTTTCCTTCAAGAATGCAGATATAGGACCTGATTTGTTGTATACTGGCCTTTGTAATTCCCTAGGTGGTTTTATTAAGTAGATCTCAAATCCCTGCATAGAAATCATTTCCTCCACTGCACCTTGTGCTAAGGTGACATGTTTAAGAAGAGAATCACAAACCTGTTGTGCAAAATATAAATGTATTAAAAATGTATTTCGTAATTATTAGAAATGAGGTTATAAATTTATTTTGGTCTACCTTAGGTCCCTTTACCTGGCTATGAAACTGACTCTCAGGTAAACAGAGCACAAAAGTGATTTGTGGAAAATTACAAAACTCACCAATATCAACATATAAAGTGAAACTTAAAGTCAAATGAGAGTATTTTTGTATAGAGAAAGAGAGAAATTACTTTTCTGGTCTTCATTTCCTGCCCAAAAGGCACACAAGAGGAAAGATTTGTCTTGAACATACTTCCTCAGTGAGTTTGATTGGCTGCGGAAGATTTACGTTCCCAAATGGAAAACAACTTCTGGGAGTTTAGCACTAGCGAGGAGACATTTATGCTGCTAGAGCCGGGAAACCACTTTGCAAAATTACCAGGAGCATCATCTGCCCCACCAGCTGTGGGTGTTTGTCCAGCAGTCATTTATCTCAGGCACACAGAAGCAGAGCGGGACCCCGTCCTGCCTGGTGTCCGGAGGGGTGGAGGGAGCGAGATGTGGCGCAGTGCAGGTGAAGCAGATGTGCA